AAGGTGTTGGTTATCACCTTTAAAGCCCTACATGGCATGGGACCAGGTTACCTGAGGGACCGCCTCTTCCCCATGATTTCAGTCTGTCCCACCCGATCACACAGAGAGGGCATGCTCCAGACCCCCTTGGTAAAAGAGCTCCGACTAGCGGGGTCCAGAAGCTGGGCCTTCTCTGCTGCAGCCCCCGCTCTTTGGAATATCTTGCCCCTGGAGGTGAGATTGGCCCCCTCACTCCTGGCCTTCTGGAGGGATTTGAAGACCTGGCTCTGCCATCTGGCCTGGGGTGGGGAGGGAAGACATCAGGTGTGGGGTTGGCTAGCCCCTTAGAGCCCTGGTATTTGCTGCTCTGAACCATTGGCCTCCTGACTTTTTAGTAATTGTTTTACATAGCTTTAGATTTTATATAATTGTATTTTATTTATTGTTTTAATCAGTTGTAAGCCGCCCACAGTCCCCCATTAGGGGGAGATGGGTGGGGATAAATTTAATAAATAAATAAATATAAATAAATAAATAAATAAATATGTTTCTCATTTTATTTCCTTATTCAACCATTAACCACCCTATACCTGCTGATGAGACTTATTAGACAAATACAGTACTCATGCATATATATTCATCATACTGTTTCCTTTCTTGATAGGCTACACTATGCAAAATGCAGAAGACACATAGTGGACAAAAGAAATTAAAGGCAGGAGATAAGAGAAAAGAAATCTAAATAAATCTAGTTTATATCAACATAATTCATGATACATCTTTATATCATCCTTGCTTCTCAAGTACAGTTAACAGACTAATCCTGTAGTTTTTGCATTCACTCTTCTTATCTTTCTTTTTGTACAGAGGAACAATGGCAGCATTTTTTCAAATGACAGGCATAGATCCAGTCATTATGCAAATGATGAATAAATTACACAGCCATTCCATAAACAAACCATATCCATATTTTAACATTTCTCTAGTTCCAACATCAATACTTGCAACCTTGCCATTTAGGAAATCAAGATAATTTCTTACATTTCAAAATGCAAAATTAATAATACAGCATTGGAATGGAGATATAGAAGTTCATATAAGAAATTTGATGGACAAATATTGGCACATATGCTATTACCCAGAAATGCTTGTCCATAAAAAATATCTGAAGGACAATCATAGGTTGATACGTTGACTGGAACATGGTTTCCATTTTTCCTAAAATGACAATAAACAAAAAAGTGCTATGTTCCCCTGTTCTTATTTTAGAAAGATTAATGCCCAATAAAATTAAGGACCAATAATGTAATAGAGTATATAGAGGTTATTGGTGTTTTTTGTGTGTTTAGCGTTCACTTACGCTTTTTAAAATGCATGCTTCATTATTCTTAAATGTGCTAATGAAAATTATTTTTAAAAGATCCAGATAAGTTCTTCCATTTAGGGAAATTTTTGTGCAAAATGTAAAGACACAGCAGTTAGTCTGCTAGAGTTCATTTGCAATAGCTGTTTCTTCATTGTTCGCCTTATAATACTGTAACAGAATGCATTCCCATATATATTATGATGCTGTACTGGAAAAATCTATTACGTCTACAACATTTTGTAGAAATGCATTAATATCTCTGTTCATTCCTCCCTCCTATCTGTTAGGTGTCCTATGCATGAAATTTTCTGGATTATAGCAAATTATATGAAAGTTATTATTTTCTGCTATTTTTTCTATTGTAGACAGCTTAACTGATAATTGTGCCATTATGGCAGGGAAGTTAATAATAATTAAAAGGCAGGGAAGTTAATAATAATCAAAAGTATTAAATGACAGGCCTAAAATACAATACATTTTTGAGAAAGTGTGCTAATGGTTGAATAACATAGGCTCTTAAAATATAGTTCTTGCTAGTAAGGTGATCTTTGCTCAGTTATCACTGGTAAAGTCAATGATTCTTATTTATTCTAATTCACATTTGAGTTCTTCTACCACTCTTACGGAAAATAGAAACATGACTTAGATGCATTTCCATTGTGACTGCTCATGTAGACCTCAGCATGCATTAGGTCACTTGCAGAGTATGTGTTTTACACTGCATATAATGTACAAACATGGACATCTTGAAGACCTCTATAGATTTTAATAGCTTAAGATACGAAATAAGAATGGATAAAATACATGATTTTGTTTTTGTGATTTTATTCTGGAGCAAAAGATTTTAATCTTTAACCCAATACACTTCCCTTTACTGAGGATTCGTTTATGAAAGAAAAAATAATATAGTAATAGTTGTAGTTAAGAACTGCAATATTGTTAATATTGTTAAGAACTGAAAGCAGGTTGTATGTGTCACAAGGAAGGAATGGAAATCAGGCTGAACTACCTGCCTTTGAAAGAGCATATTGACAACTCCTCATTTTTCAAATTTCATCATGGTAATGAGGACTGGAATTCTAGAGTCTTTGCTTTTGCCATTGCTTTCATGAGCAATCCTTAAAATCAAGTACAGGTAGTCCTCACTTACCGACCATTCAAAGACCGTTCAAATTTACGACGGTGATGAATATGGAGGCTTACAACCAATCCTCCAAGTTGTGGCCATCACAGCATCCCCACAGTCATGTGATCGTGATTAGGGTGCTTGGCAATTGGTGCACATTTACAACAGTTGCAGTGTCCCGCAGGCACGTGATCACCATTTGTGAATTTCACAGCTAGCTTCTGACAAGCATAGTCAACAGGGAAACTGGCAGGAAGTTGTAAGTCATAGTCATGTGATGTTGCCCTTAATGACCCGTGGTAATTCGCTTAACAACTGCAGCTGGAACTGTCGGGCGTGGTCATGTGATTTTTCAATTTATTTATTTATTTATTAAATTTATATGCTGCCCATCTCCCCCTTTATGACCACATCGCTTAGTGATGGAGTTGCCAGTCCCAATTGCAGTCAGTAAGTGAGGACTACCTGGTATTTACTATATTTCTGCACTGAATTTTCTTTTGTTATGATATTCTGGCTATCTATGGCCTTCAAGTCACCTCTTTCGGTAAATCCAGAAAAAATTGACTTGAGGCTTTCTCTCAGCTGTAGGATGTCATCTTTATTCTAAAATGCTATCATTATCAAACTGGACTTAGGGCATAATTCTGTAGACTTAGATTTCATATTTTGTCTTTTTGGACAGTAAGTTGCCTAAAACTGCCTATTTATATGCTCCGTGTCTTGATAAATGATAAACACAGAGCATATAAAGGCCTCTGAGATTCTTTTCTCTCAGATTAATCCTAAATTTTACAGTGCAGTACAGCTAATGTCTTTGATAGTTTGGTCACATATTATCGGCAGCCTTTTGCAAAATCTTGTTAGGAAGAATTAAAATATCTTTAATGAACGACAACTTTTGTTGGTTTGTGGCATGCTTGCTGAGAATGGTGGAAGTTGTAGTCCCAAAACATGTGCAGGGCACCATATTAGAAAAGAGTCTATGAACCTGAACTGATGTGCTTAGCTGTTCTAATTGTAGTGATTAAGCCTTTGGTTCAGATTTCACCTTGGCCATAATATCACTTCATAAGTACACCTTTCCTTCTGAATCTCCCTTCATGTATAGTGATAACAATTTTGCTATTGTTGCAAGGGCTGTTGAGATGATACTGAGTCAATTAAATAGACAAAAAGTGTTATGTTAATTATATTATATGAAGAGAAACAATATACAAAGGATACAATAGATGTTGCAATTATATTCAGATGTAGCCTGTTTCTATTTGAGTTTCTTTTTAAAGCTATAAGTGCTGTGCCACTATAATTTTGAGATAGTGAGAATTATGAGAATTTGTGGAGCTTGTGATTGGAATTCTTGTCCTATTAATGCAGAAGCTAATAGTTATGCACTTTGCCTCTGTAGGGAATGATCTTTTTCTGGTTGCAGTGCATGAATTGGGTCATGCCTTAGGCCTTGAGCATTCCAATGACCCTAGTGCTATTATGGCTCCTTTTTATCAGTACATGGAAACACACAACTTTAAGTTACCCCAAGATGACCTTCAAGGAATTCAGAAGATCTATGGTAAGATAAATTCCACATCCCTTCCCATAACTTCAGACAGTTATTAGTAGTTAAATATACAGAACCAGTATTGTGATTGTGAAGAGCTGGGGTGTTTCTCACATTTGTTTAATGAAGTTTACTATGGGAAAATTATCTGTTAAAATAATTTCAGCCTTTTTATTACCAAGGATATTTTATGGGGTAAGGCCTAAGGCATTCATTTTGCCCCTTAAATTGACCTTAACCCCCTCAGAAGAAAATATAGTTCTGAAATTTTTACCCATGCCTGCTCTGTGTTACTAAGGGTCTCATGTCCCCCTTGAGTTCTCCACCACTGAAGTAAAGGCATGACTTTGGGAAAATGCTCAGGCATTTCAGACATCACTTTCACTGTTGAATTTAAACGGTCTCTTTAAAAGTATTCTATTTTGATATGAGATTGTGTTCCTTCACTAAGTGTTCCTTCACTAAGAAATGTGTAGCAGTTACTCACCTATTGAGCAGGCTGCAAATGGAGGTTCCCTCTATGAATGCATCAGTTGTAGGGAAATGCCATTTTCTCAAGCTAAAACAAGCTGTTCCTGGTAGCATGCCCTTTTCACCACTATGGCAAGGACAACTGCTGAGAGTACAAACCGTAAAGTAGAATGCAGCTACTGAAATGTCCCAAGCATCTGTTGACCAGCATATATGATGTTACAGGTAGCAAGCTTAGAGTCCTCTTTCCTTATCTCATACCTGTGCCAACATTATCCAAAAAGATTTTTAGATTGCATATGCCAGCGACACTCATGCCAAAAGGAATGTACTTTCAGTCTAAGCCTTTATAGTGCCACTCCCCACAGGGTTTCTTTCCCAAGACTGCATTTCTATTTCTTGATCCTTTCTCTCCTTTTCTTCCTGTTTTCATGTAATTACAAGGAGTTCCCTCTCAAGTATTAGAACAATGTTCTCCTTCAAAATAGCAATGAAGAAAAGAGCAACAAAAAAGAAAAAAGGAAGAAAAACTAAAAAAAGATCAAGAACTACAGCTTTCACTATACAGGAGTAGAATATTCTGTTGTCACCATGCATTGTATCAAATAACCTCTGTGTAGCAAATTGTTGAAGTCTGCAGGTAAAAGGCTGGAGGCCCCAAACATTGCCTCCAAAAAGCCCATTGGGTCTTCAAACCCTGGTCCTGCCTCCTGCTTTGGAGTAGTGGCCTCAGTGTTTCTCAACCTTGGCAACTTTAAGATGTGTGGACTTCAACTCCCAGATTTCCCCAGCCAGCATG